TTCAAATTTCAGGGCCTGGGGTTGGGGTTTGTGCTCTGCCAAAACCACCAAAAACACCAAAAACACCAAAATCCCTCAGGGATATTTGGGAATAAAAGAATTTTCCAAGCCCCTGGATGCAGCAGCCCGGCCCCAAACCCTCCTGGGTTAAATCACAAATTTATTGTGATAAAGGAGTTACCACAATAACAGGAATTCTCTTTCCCAGGAGTGAATCAAGGAGAAGGAATTGATTCTGATGGAATTTCCACATTCAAGAGGCTGAAAAAAGGGAAATTTACAGGAAATTTTGGGGAAAATCCTTCCCTGTGGGAGAGAATTCGCACAGGATTTGTGTGCAGCTCCTCAGCACTGGGGACAAAATAATTCGAATTTCACAGCCAGCCTGGGTTGGGGTTTGTGCTCTGCCAAAACCACCAAAATTCAAAATCCCTCAGGGATATTTGGGAATAAAAGAATTTTCCAAGCCCCTGGATGCAGCAGCCCTGCCCCAAACCCTCCTGGGTTAAACCCCAAAATTTATTGTGATAAAGGAATAACCACAATAACAGGAATTCTCTCAATAAAAGGAATTACCACAGTAACAGAAATTCTCTCAATAAAAGGAATTCTCTCAATAAAAGGAATTACCACAGTAACAGAAATTCTCTCAATAACAGGAATTCTCTCAATAAAAGGAATTACCACAATAACAGGAATTCTCTCAATAAAAGGAATTCTCTCAATAAAAGGAATTACCACAATAACAGGAATTCTCTCAATAAAAGGAATTACCACAATAACAGGAATTCTCTTTGCCAGGAGCTGATTCCAGCAGGGGAAGGATCCTGATGGAATATTTCATATTCAAAAGGCTGAATAAAGCCGTTCTCTGTTTTACAGTAAAATTCTCTTTTTGCTCCATTTTGCAATAAAATTCACTCATTTTCCTCAATCTCACACCCCAATTCAATGATGTTGCTCCATTTTACATTAAAATTCTCCCGTTTTGCTCCATTTTACAACAAAATTCTCTCCTTTTCTCCATTTTGCAATAAAATTCTCTCCTTTTGCTCAAATTCACCACAAAATTCTCTCACTTTGCTCAATTCCACAATAAAATTCACTCCATTTCACAACAAAATTTTCTCATTTTGCCCTATTTTACATTAAAATTGTCTAATTTCACTCAATTTCACCACAAAATTTACTCCACTTTTGCTCCATATCACAGTAAAATTCACTCATTTTGCTCCATTTCACATCAAAATTCTCTCCTTTTTGCAATAAAATTCACTCCTTTTGCTCCACTTTAAAATAAAATTCTCTCATTTTGCTGAATCTCACACCAAAATTCTCTCCTTTTGCTCCATTTCACGACAAAATTTTCTCATTTTGCCCAATTTCACAGTAAAATTCTCTCATTTTTCTGCATTTTACAATACAATTCTCTCCTTTTTGCAATAAAATTCACCCCTTTTGCTATTGTACAATAAAATTCCTCTCATTTTATTCAATTTCACCACAAAATTCACTCCCCTTTTGCTCAATTTTACAATAAAATTCTCTCATTTTTCTCAAATTTGCACAAAATTCTCTCCTTTTCCTCAATTTCACACCAAAATTCACTCATTTTTCTCCATTTCACAATAAATTCTCTCCTTTTCTCCCCACCCAGGACAATCAGACCCATCCACAGCAGCCTCTGCGATCCCAAATTGCCAAAATTTCCTCCAAAAATTGAAGGAAAAAATCTCAGTTTTTACAAAATTTTAAAAATTAAAAAATTTTTAAAACCACGTTCAATTCCAAATTATTCCACAGCCAAACCACACAAAGGTAAAGCTTTAAATTATCTAAAAATGACAATGAAATTCGGTTTTTGCGCTGTCAGGAAGAGAATTCAAAGATGAAAAATCAGAATTGTTCTTTCATTGCGCACAGATTTACCCACAAAGGTTCCCAAAAAATAAAAATAAACCAAAATACAAACCCCTCAGGGAGGTTTGAACAGGTTGAGAGGAAGAATTTAATCAATATTCTGAATTTCCATTCAAATCCCATTAAAAAATCCCTCAATATTCTGAATATTCTGAATTTCCAACCATTTCAGTCCCATCACAAATTACCTCAATATTCTGAATTTCCATTCATTTAAATCTTATAATAGAATCCCTCAATATTCTGCATTTCTATTCATTTTAATCCCATCACAAAATCCCTCAATGTTCTGAATTTCCATTCAATCTTAGAATACCTCAATATTCTGCATTTCCACTCAAATCTCATAACAAAATCCCTCAGTATTCTGAATTTTCATCCATTTTAGTCCCATCACAAAATCCCTCAATATTCTGAATTTCCATTCATTTCAGTCCCATCACAAAATCCCTCAATATTCTGAATTTGCATTCAAGACCCATCACAAATTTACCTCAATATTCTGCATTTCCATTCAAATCTCACAATAAAATACATCAATATTCTGAATTTCCATGTAGTATATAGTATATAGTATGTCGTATATAATATATAGTATGTAGTATATAGTATGTAGTATATAGTATGTAGTATATAGTATATAGTATAGAGTATATGCATATAGTATATAGTATGCAGTATATAGCATGTAGTATATAGTATGTAGTATATAGTATATAGTATGTGGTATATAGTATATAGTATACAGTATGTAGTATATAGTATAAAGTGTGCAGTATATAGTATGTAGTATATAGCATATAGTATGTAGTATATTATATATAGTATGCAGTATATAGTATGCAGTATATAGCATATAGTAGTATATAGTATGTAGTATGTAGTATGCAGTATATAGTATATACTATATACTATATAGTATGTGGTATATAGTATGTAGTATATAGTATGTAGTATATAGTATATAGTATGTAGTATATGTATATAGTATATAGTATGCAGTATATAGCATATAGTATATAGTACGTAGTACATAGTATATAGTATACAGTATGTAGTATGTAGTATGTAGTATATAGTATGTAGTATATAGTATATAGTATGTAGTATATAGTATATACTACATACTATATAGTATGCAGTATGTAGTATATAGCGTATAGTATGCAGTATATAGTATATATTATATTGTATATAGTATGCAGTATGTAGTATATAGTATATAGTATGTGGTATATAGTATGTGGTATATAGTATATAGTATATAGTATATAGTATATAGTATATAGTATGTAATATGTAGTATGTAGTATGTAGTATATAGTATGCAGTATATAGTATGCAGTAAATAGTATATAGTATGTAGTATACAGTATGCAGTATGTAGTATATAGCATATAGTATATAGTATACAGTATATAGTATGCAGTATATAGTATATAGTATGCAGCATGTAGTATATAGTATGCAGTATATAGTATATATTATATAGTATATAGTATATAGTATATAGTATGTGGTATATAGTGTATATAGTATACAGTATATAGTATGTAGTATGTAGTATATAGTATATAGTATATAGTATGTAGTATATAGTATGCAGTATATAGTATATAGTATGCAGTATATAGTATATAGTATATAGTATGTAGCATATAGTATGATGTATTATGTATTATGTATTATGTATTATATATTATATATTATATATTATATATTATATATTAGACATTATATATTATATATATATATTTATCTGTAATCTATAAATAATATCATAATTAATCTAATCTAATATATCTATTATACTACATATAATAGATATATTACATTGTATTACATATAATATAATAGCAAAACAATGACAATTATATAAAAATTTAATAAAATAAAGACAATAATGAATAAAAATTATTATTTTTTTTAAATAATAATAATTTTACCTCCATGGCCAGGGCGGCCGTGTGCTGGTCGTAGTGGTTACATTACATATAATATAATAGCAAAACAATGACAATTATATAAAAATAATAAAAATAAACCAAATAATTAATAAAATTTTTAATTACCTCCATGGCCAGGGCGGCCGTGTGCTGGTCGTAGTGGTTATATTACATATAACATAACAACAAAATAATGACAATTATATAAAAGCTAATCAAACAAATATAATAATTAATAAAATTTTTAATTACCTCCATGGCCAGGGCGGCCGTGTGCTGGTCATAGTGGTTTTATTACATATAATATAATACCAAAATAATGCCAATTATATAAAAACGAATAAAACAAATATAACAATTAATAAAATTTTTCATTACCTCCATGGCCAGCACCGCCGTGTGCTGGTCGTAGTGGTTACATTACATATAATATAATACCAAAATAATGCCAATTATATAAAAACGAATAAAACAAATATAACAATTAATAAAATTTTTCATTACCTCCATGGCCAGCGCCGCCGTGTGCTGGTCGTAGTGGTTACATTACATATAATATAATACCAAAATAATGCCAATTATATAAAAACGAATAAAACAAATATAACAATTAATAAAATTTTTCATTACCTCCATGGCCAGCGCCGCCGTGTGCTGGTCGTAGTGGTTACATTACATATAATATAATACCAAAATAATGCCAATTATATAAAAACGAATAAAACAAATATAACAATTAATAAAATTTTTCATTACCTCCATGGCCAGCGCCGCCGTGTGCTGGTCGTAGTGGTTACATTACATATAATATAATACCAAAATAATGCCAATTATATAAAAACGAATAAAACAAATATAACAATTAATAAAATTTTTCATTACCTCCATGGCCAGCGCCGCCGTGTGCTGGTCGTAGTGGTTACATTACATATAATATAATACCAAAATAATGCCAATTATATAAAAACGAATAAAACAAATATAACAATTAATAAAATTTTTCATTACCTCCACGGCCAGCGCCGCCGTGTGCTGGTCGTAGTGGTTACATTACATATAATATAATACCAAAATAATGCCAATTATATAAAAACGAATAAAACAAATATAACAATTAATAAAATTTTTCATTACCTCCATGGCCAGCGCCGCCGTGTGCTGGTCGTAGTGGTTGAGCAGGTTGGGCATGAAGGTGGAGTTGTAGGGCAGGTCCTGGCACATCCTGAGCGCGATGGGCTCGCAGGAGAACAGGCTGTGCCCGGCGCCGGGGGGCAGCCGGCACCCCAAAACCCACAGGGCGGCCAGCAGCCACCCCACGGCCGTCCTCACACCCCAAAACATCCTCCTCATCCTCACAAATCCCAAAATATCCTGCCAAAATCCCATTTTGAACATTGGCTCTGCTTGTAGAACCTTCACCTCCTCAGAAATTCTGATTTTTCCTGCCAAAATCCCATTGTTCACATTGGCTTTGCTTGTGGTTCTTTCCTTCCAAATCTCATTTTTCACATTGGCTCTGCTTGTGGCATCTTCCACATTCTTAAAAATTCCAAAATTTCCTCCAAAATCTCATTTTTCACATTGCCTTTGCTTGTGGCATCTTCCACATCCTTAAAAATTCCAAAATTTCCTCCAAAATCTCATTTTTCACATTGCCTTTGCTTGTGGCATCTTCCACATCCTTAAAAATTCCAAAATTTCCTCCAAAATCTCATTTCTCCCATTGGCTCTGCTTGTGGTTCCTCCAAATTTCAAAATTTTCTGTGTCCAACATCCTCAGGGTCCTGAAGGAATTTTCCTTTTTTTTTCCACTCTCAGTGGTGAATGAAAAATGGAAATTTCAGCCACATTCCCACACTGTGGAGCCCATGGTGACCAGGCAGGGATTCCTGAATTATCCTAAAAAACAGAGAGAAAACAATGAGAAAAATCAGCCAAAAATGAAAATATTCCAATATTTCATCTCTCAGTTCCTCAACTCTTCAAGTTCTCCTACAAGATGAGTTTAAATCTGATTTTTTTTAATTTCTGGAGGAATTGAATGGAAGAAAAGCACCCAAAAATGATGAAAATATGGGGATTATAATGATTGGGAAAGAGTATTTTTAGAAAATTCCACATTTTCAGCTTGGCCACAGTGAAACCAGTGAAATATTGAAATATTAAAATAATGAAATATTGAAAAATTGAAATTTCAGCCACATTCCCACACTGTGGAGCCCATGGTGAAAGGGCAGGGATTCCTGAATTATCCTAAAAAACAGAGAGAAAACAATGAGAAAAATCAGCCAAAAATGAAAATATTCCAATGTTTTACCCTCCAGGGGATTCCTGATTTATCCTAAAAAACAGAGAGAAAACAATGAGAAAAATCAGCCAAAAATGAAAATATTCCAATGTTTTACCCTCCAAGGGATTCCTGAATTATCCTAAAAAACAGAGAGAAAACAATGAGAAAAATCAGCCAAAAATGAAAATATTCCAATGTTTTACCCTCCAAGGGATTCCTGATTTATCCTAAAAAACAGAGAGAAAACAATGAGAAAAATCAGCCAAAAATCAAAATATTCCAATATTTCACCTCTCAGTTCCTCAACTCTTCAAATTCTCCTACAAGATGAGTTTTAATCTGATTTTTTAAAATTTCTGCAGGAATTGAATGGAAGAATTTGATGGAAAAAGGAAGAAAAACACCCCAAAAATGAAAATATTCCAATATTTAATCTCTCAGTTCCTCAACTGCTTCAATTCTCCAACAAGATGAGTTTTAATTCTGATTTTTTTTTCTTTTTGTGCCCAAATTTGGGAATTTTGGGATTTTTTTGTGCCCAAATTTGGGAATTTTGGGGCTTTCCTGCCCAGTTTTGGGAGTTTTGCGGGGTTTTTAGTGCCCAAATTTGAGAATTTTGGGGTATTTTTGTGCCCAAATTTGGCAATTTTGGGATTTTTTTGTGCCCAAATTTGGCAATTTTGGGGCTTTTGTGCCCAAATTTGGGAATTTTGGGGTATTTTTGTGCCCAAATTTGGGAATTTTGGGCCTTTTCTGCCCAGTTTTGGGAGTTTTGCGGGGTTTTTAGTGCTCAAATTTGGCAATTTTGGGATTTTTTTGTGCCCAAATTTGGCAACTTTGGGATTTTTTTGCGCCCGAATTTGGGAATTTTGGTGGTTTTTTGTGCCCAAAATTGAGGAATCAGGAATTTTCCATGCCCGAAACTTGGGAATTTTGGCTTTTTTTGTGCCTAAAAATCAGGAATTTTGACTTTTTCTCCTCCTAATTCCAGGAATTGCCCATTTCTAACCCCATTTCTAACCCCAAATTTCCCTTTTTCTCCCCATTTTTATCCCCAAATTTCCCTTTTTCTCCTCATTTTTAACCCCAAATTTCCCTTTTTCTCCTCATTTCTAACCCCAAATTTCTCCTTTTCTCCTCATTTTTAACTCCAAATTTCTCCTTTTTTCCCTTTCCTTTTTTTGAAAAGCTGGTTAAAAACAAACATTCAAAAAGAAGGGAAATAAAAAAAAGACCAATCTGATAAAATAACCACGAGAAATTTATTTATTGACAGTTTTGATGTGGTTGAGGCAGCACTGAAAGAAGGGGAAAAAATAGAAATAGGAAAACTCCAAAGTCAGGAAAAACCAAACCAGGAGCAAAAAAAAGGAGCTGGAAAATTTGTGTCCTTCTGATGGAAAAAAATGTCATTTTTCAGATTGAAAATATTCCATATTAAATATTTCATATTTAATATTTTGAAATAGGTCATATTTCACTATTTCATATTGAAAATATTTCATGTTTTCATATTTCAAGATATGAGCTTGACAGGTTGTGTCCTTCTGATGGGAAAATGTCATTTTTCAGATTGAAAATATTCCATATTTAACATTTCATATATTGAAAGATTGCATATTGAAAATATTTCAGATTGAAAATATTTCATATTTAATATTTCATATATAGAAATGTTTCGTATTTCAGTATTTCATATTGAAAATATTTCATGTTTTCATATTTCAAGATGGTATGAGCCTGACAAGTTGTGCCCTTCTGACAGAAAAATGTCATTTTTCAGATTGAAAATATTCCATATGAAATATTTCATATTTAATATATTGAAATAGGTCATATTGAAAATATTTCATATTGAAAATATTTCATATTTTCATATTTCAAGATATGAGCTTGACAGGTTGTGTCCTTCAGATGGAAAAATGTAATTTTTCAGATTGAAGATATTTCATATTTAATATTTCATATATTGAAAGATTGCATATTGAAAATATTTCATATCTAATATTTCATATATAGAAATGTTTCGTATTTCAGTATTTCATATTGAAAATATTTCATATTTTCATATTTCAAGATATGAGCTTGACAAGTTGTGTCCTTCTGATGGAAAAATGTCATTATTCAGATTGAAAATATTCCATATTAAATATTTCATATTTAATATATTGAAATAGGTCATATTGAAAATATTTCATATTGAAAATATTTCATATTTTCATATTTCCAGATGATATGACCTTGACAAGTTGTGTCCTTCTGATTTGAAATGTCATTTTTCATGTTGACTTTTCAAGGTGAAATGAGCTTGAAAAGTTGCGTCCAGATTTAAGAAATGTCATTTTTCATGTTGATTTTTCAAGATTATATGAGCTTGAAAATTGTGTCCTTCTGATGGAAAAAAAATCATTTTTTAGATTGACTTTTCAAGGTGATAGGAGCTTGAAAAGTTGTGTCCTGATGGAAGAAATGTCATTTTTCTAATTGAGTTTTAAAGGTGATATGAGCTTGAAAAGTTGTGTCCTTCTGATGGAAAAATACAATTTTTCATGTTGACTTTTCAAGGTGAAATGAGCTTGAAAAGTTGTGTCCTGATTTAAGAAATGTCATTTTTCAGACTGACTTTTCAAGGTGACATGAGTTTAAGAAGTTGTGTCTTTATTTAAGAAATGTCATTTTTCACGTTGACTTTTCAAGGTGATATGAGTTTAAAAAGTTGTGTCCTGATGGAAAAAATGTCATTTTTCAACTGACTTTTCAAGGTGATAGGAGCTTGAAAAGTTTTGTCCTTCTGATGGTGGAAATGTCATTTTCCAGATTGAAAATATTTCATATATTCATTTTTCAAGATGATATGAGTTTAAAAAGTTGTGTCCTGATTTAAGAAATGTCATTTTTCACACTGGCTTTTCAAGGTGATATGAGCTTGAAAAGTTGTGTCCTGATGGAAAAAAATGTCATTTTTCAGATTAAATTTTTCAAGATGGTATGAGCTTGAAAAGTTGTGTCCTTCTGATGGTGGAAATGTCATTTTTCATATTGAAAATATTTCATATATTCACATTTCAAGATTATATGAGCTTGAAAAGTTGTGTCCTGATGGAAAAAATGTCATTTTTAATATTGAATTTCAAGATGATAGGAGCTTGAAAAGTTGAATCCTGATTTAAGAAATGTCATTTTTCACGTTGACTTTTCAAGGTGAGATGAGCATGAAAAGTTGTGTCCTTCTGATAAAAAAAAAAAAAAATTCAGATTGACTTTTCAAGATGACATGACCTTGAAAATTTTGTCCTGATGGAAGAAATGTCATTTTTCATTTTGACTTTTCAAGGTGATATGAACTTCAAAAGTTGCGTCCTTCTGAGTTCAGAAATGTCATTTTTCAGATTGACTTTGCAAGATGGCATGAGCCTGAAAAGTTGTGTCCTTCTGATGGAAAATAAATCATTTTTCAGATTGAATTTCAACATGATATGAGCTTGAAAAGTTGTGTTCTGATGGAAAAAATGTCATTTTTCACATTGACTTTTCAAGGTGATATGAGCTTGAAAAGTTGTGTCCTTCTGATTGAAGAAATGTCATTTTTCACATTGAATTTCAAGATGATAGGAGCTTGAAAAGTTGAGTCTTGATTTAAGAAATGTCATTTTTCATGTTGACTTTTCAAGGTGATATGAGCTTGAAAAGTTGCGTCGTTCTGATGGAAAAAATGAATTTTTTTCAGATTGACTTTACAAGATGATATGAGTTTGAAAAGTTGTGTCCTGATTTAAGGAATGTCATTTTTCAGACTGACTTTTCAAGGTGATATGAGCTTGAAAAGTTGTGTTCTTCTGATGGAAAAAATGTCATTTTTCACATTGAATTTCAAGATGATAGGAGCTTGAAAAGTTGT